TGGTTCATGTATTTATTTATTTATAAAATTTGCTGCTGAATTTTTTAAAAATAAATCGTTCTGCAACTACTACTTCTTCCCACATCACCCCATCCCTCCACTTCTCTCCCAGGGGATGCCCCACTGTCACAAGGTACTCTGAATGTGCTGCTTTGTCATTTATTTTCGAATAAACAGTAGAAAGTTCTCTCACACTCATCGTGGGTTCAGGGTCTAGTGAAAGGGGTAGTGATGGATCATGTAATTAACAGCTGCATGACAAGGTATATGAATCAGGAGCTGAATTAAAGTTGTAGACGCAACCTTAAAACTTAACATTTAAACTCTGAGGGTTTTTTTTTTTACTTTACAACCTTATTAGCATTCTTTTAGCATAATTTTATTCTATGCAATTTCCTAGACTTTCTTGAAATATTTAGACTGTGACATTTTTAAACACCTAAACAGAGTTACAGGAGCAGAAATTTATGCACACGTCTTCATACATCTTAGCAAAAATATAATTTTAGAGAATGAGCATTTCTAGCAAGATATAAGCCTGTTCCCCTTTTAGCAGTCTTTTATTTTATTTCTTTTTTGGCTGCCATGGCTATACATACAGCTTTAACTATGTCATGGGCATTTGTGTCTGGAGATAACATGTTACTATTCTTAGCCAAGTTGTCAAATTTAGAGGAAAAAAAATAATCTCTCTAATTTCTTATATTGTCTGAAACAGTGAGTCTATAAGAATGGAAGTAAGCCTTTAAAAACGAAAATGATTAAACATATTAATCCTCTTTTCTTTAAATGTTAGGTCATGCTCTTATTATTTGTGACACCATGATGAGCAGTAATTAAGCCTTGGCAAATTTCTTGTCTAAAGTAACTTGAATTACTATTGTAATATCACACAGGAAATCTGCTAGAGATGGTGAATACTTTGCAGCAAACAATATATTTAGTAAATGCCGCCCCTTCTGTTCAGCCATTGTTCTGCCAGGGCACACACAAATTTACTCATTATGGTTTGATTTCAAGACAGCATCCTTGTGCAGGATCTACGTAACTTCAAGCACCCACACACATCCCATTCTACTTCAGCTTCTGAGATGGATCTGAAATGGGCCCATAATGAATAGTCAATAAAAGCTTGCCTGGTGCTGCTTAAAATATAGCCATATTCATATTTAAAAAACCCCCAAACAACCCATCAAGACAAGACGCTCTATTTTATATGCTTCTGCCCTGGGGCAGGAAAATGAGAGAACAAACAGTGTATGACAGAACTGTAGACATGTTGCTTAATGCACTTCTGGATAGTAATTAGATACCACACAGTGAGGTCTGTGTGAGAACGTGTGTGTGTGTGTGTGTGTGTGTGTGTGTGTGTGTGTGTGTGTGTATATTTAGATTGGGACCTTGCAATTCAATCCCAGTAAAGGGAAACATCTTAACATCTTGCTGCTTCTCTCTTGCTCCATGGAGAAAAGACATGATGTAAGTCCCTTCACTGATGCACCATAATTCTCCATCCACACAGGCTCAGTATTGCTCAGTATTGATAAGGCAGGTGAGAGCACGCCACTACCAAGGAGAGGAAGCAGTGCTTGAGTTTAACTATCCTGAATAGGCAGCTAAGGTTTATGTTTGGGTCCAAATGTTTCAAGTAAACTAAATTTCAGACTATGGATTTCTCTGCCACTCATGCTACACTGCAGATGTACTGTGCAACTGAACTCACTGCAGGGAATCATTGTGATTATGGGCTTACCAGCTCTTCTGTCTGACATGCTCAAAGGCAAGCCCAATAGGGGTCCCAAACAATAAGCATTTCTGACTCCAGCCCAGGGTTGGCTCCCATTCCTTATGTCATGATATTCAGTTCAAAATTAATAAGAAACAGGGAGATTTAAAAGGAATTCAAGAGAAACAACCAGATTTATTTTGGGGGGAAAGCAAGAAACTTGATTCTGAAAGACTGAAAATTGCCTAAGGTAATTAAAAATGTAACCTCTGCTTCAAAAGTTTCAGTTCAGGACGTTCAGGGTCTTGAGGTAATCCAGGCCATATCACCAAAATAGCAAAATCAAATCAAATAAAACCAACCCACAAAACGAAACATCTCACCCCCCAAAAACCCCAGTGCCCAAACTATTTAAATTGGCAGAAAGCATCAAGAGTAAAAGATGCCTGTGCTGTTATGAGATCTAGCAAATGCAATAACTAGGAAAAGAAATAGTTGTGAAAACAGCAGATCCTTATTCATTTAATTTGTTTTCTGCAAGCAGTTATCCTGGAAAAAATTGAATTGTCTGAATGCTCACAGAAAATGGACATTTAAAGGAGGATGAACAGGGCTGAAGTGAATTCATTGCCAAAAAAAAAAAAAACAACCATTCACACAAAATGCTATGTAAATAGAATTTACCCAAGTCTACTACATTCTTCAAGCCCCTATTGATTTTTTCCAATTAGATCTCAATTATTGGTGTTGTCATTAATCAGAGTTCTTTAGGACAAGCATAAATATATAGATAGCTTAAATGTGGCAAGATCAGGTTCATCTTGATCTAATCTTTGATGGCAGGATATTTGGAAATGGTGGACCTCCTACACAGCTGTAGGCTGTATAGCTAAATGGAAATGGTATGATGGATTACGAAGACTGATAGATCATATACAGACCGTAGCCCATTATGGGTCTTCAACCTAAGTGCCACAGTCGTGCAGTGGATTTGGGACAGGGCTCAAAGCTGGTGCAGAGCATAAGTGTTGCCATATTATAGTTTACATGCTTAGTATAAGGACTACTGTACATAAGTCAAGAAGAAGCTTTCATCTAGACTTCAGTATCAAAACCATGTAGAATGCATTTCAAACTGTAGGGTCATTTAACTGGGGGCTCAGTATTAGATACAAATAGACCGGTGTGGGCAAAGAGCAAAGATATGGGCTGGCCATAAACTCAAAGCTAAAGAGGATCCTGATATGAGTTATCAGGAATCCATTGGTTGTAAATGTTGGAAGAAGTGATGCAGCAAAAGCTGGACAAGATTATGAATATGTGTTATTGGGAAGTTTTCAGGTTATTTGAGCACTGGTGAGCATTCTCAGACAGAGGACTTTTCCCAAGGAATAGGCTCTACTGGAATAACCATTGACACCTTTTCTGGATCAAGGCAGTCATGACAAATAAGAGGAGTTTTGAATTAAAACACTGGTGAAAAGGCAAGGAGAAATCACTAGAATATCCATGCCAAGAACAAATATACAACAGGAATGAAATCAAGTATATGAGGAGATAGCAATGCAGAAAGGAATATCAGAGGGTAGAAAGGAAAAAAGAAATAAATAAAATAACACCGAGGAGAACTGAAATTTCAGCCAGTGAATTGGCTATCCCTATCTCAACTGGGAACTCAGATAAAGCCTGACTGAAACATCTGAAATATTTGTTTGGAGCCTGCTGAATAATAAAAGAATTGGAACTTGGCGTGCGGGACACAATTGAGATATTATATGGATCACAGAAACATGGGAGAATGGGAATCCTGACTGGCCAGGAAGATTATAACCTATTTGATAGGATTCCATACCTTGTCATGAATTGAAAGGTGCATCTCAAGTTGATACAGAGGGGTGATGCTCCCCCTCTATGCGACCTAGGTCAGGCTGTGATTGGAGTACTGCGTCAGCAAGTACTCCAATTAGTCAGTACTCCAACTACTCAGCAAGCAGCCCTGCACCCAAAATAATTGCCCGCCCCTGGTCTAGAGGCAAAAGGAATCAAAAGTCAAGGAAGAGGTGATATTTTTTAGTATACCAACTAGATATTTGCACACAAATTATTTTATTTATTTGCAAGCTTTTGGGCACCCTCACCCTTCACCAGGCATAGGAAAGAGCAGAGATTGTAAAAGTTCTCCTAGGTAGAAATGACAATTCAGCATCCTTTCTAGGATGGGTGCTGTAACCACAAGGTTGCTATATATGAGATGGGAGGGAGATTAATGCACACCAACAATTTAAGTACCTCCTGAGTTCTACAGCTACTAGACTGGGCACATTTTGGATCATCCCATGGCTCAGTTCTGCCTAAATCCTGCTTAGGTGCCTCATTTACCCATCAGGGGCTGAGCCACTGTTCAGTTTAAATGAGTGCTCTCATATATTCCTAGTGGAAAAGGAAGGAGCGGTATAATCACGGGCACTGATCCTGCAAAGATTTGCACCTGCAGCCAATGAGATTACTCATGTGTGGAAAAGTAAACAAGTGCATAACTCATGGCAGGTCTAGCACTGCCTTAGAAAAACTAACACCTTGGCTGACAGGCTTCCCACAGAGGCCAAACTGAATGAAGCACGATCTGCCCTTGTGACCCTACTGCTATTCTGTCCAGTGCAGATCTAAGCAACAATGAAGAGGAAAACTCACAGCGGGGTTGCCTACTATATTGCTGGGGTTCATGTTCAGAGGGCTGATAGATGCAGTCTGCCCTGGGCAGATTCTTCAATCTTCCTTAAGTATTAATCTGACAGCTTTCAACAACGTTACAGTGCCTTATTTCTAAATGTGTTTTAAATTAATTAATTAAATGCAATTTAGACTTAATAAGGCACTTAATCTATGTTCAAATGGTACCACTTGTTTATTATATCTTTTTAAAGGATTAATCTGTTTTAATTAGATTAATTAAATATTTATCTATTACCTGGCTTTTGAACCTCATTAAGAGCCAGATCCTCTGCTGGTACAAATTGTCAAAGCTCCAGTGAAACACATGCATCTGTGCCAATTTATACCAGCTGAGAATCTGGCCTTCAATGTTTCTAATAATCTAATGACATTTAAAAGGCATGCAAAGGCTATCTTTATTAATCTAATGATTTAATTATAACAAGTCAACTGGAATTAAATTGGTATCTAATTAGGCATTTATTGTCCTGTATTTTGCCTTAAACAAGGTTTAGATTAAATATATAAGGGGCCCTGGAGTGGGGAGTGAAATCTTGGAGTGGTCCAAGCTATGTATCCCCAATGGAGGAAGGCATCTCCAGGAAGAGCAGTAGGGTAGGATAAAGGCACAGATTGTTTTTAGTGATTCCCATTGGCTGACTTGAGGTAGTTCCTTTCCCATATATTGTATAGAGGAGCTGAGACGAAGAGCCTAGCGCAGAGCTATGGATTCTGTCCTGGGACTAGGGGCAGCATCCATATTTTCTCAGTATGTGCCTAAGCTTAGGCAGGATAACACGTAACTTTTGAGATTCTGGTTTAGAAGGGAGATTAAAATGATATAGTTAGGCATCCAGATCCCCACAGAGTCAATGGAGAGGCTTTAGAGGTGCCTAAAGGAAAACAGATTTATGTTTCTGAGGCTTCTCTGCAGAAAAGGAGGAGTATAAAGTGCCTCCAAAGGCTGATGCAAAAGCCCAGAGATCCGTAGAGGTAGCCCAAGAGAGCTGCTGAAGTACAGGTGTTGTACTTCCCACCTTCTCAAGCTATCCATTATGTCTCCATTCACTGCCAACTCATAGCATGTAGTCACACCTCTGAGATTACTATATACTGAATGCTTGTTTACAGATGCAGAATGAAGGTGGTGGCCATAATGCCTGGTAGGTGATGCATTTGTCGTCAGCATAGGAATACTGAGTTAGGTGCCTAAATACCATTATAATCAATGAGCAAGAAACACCTAATATTGGTCATTTGCTTCTAAAAACCTTCTCTGCTTCTTTGAGTGTTTACGTACCTTTGGAAGTCATGCTATAAAGGCTCAGTCTTTAACCTGATCCAGCAAGGCATGTAAGCACATGTTGAATTCTAAGCTGCTGTGTGGTTTAACAGCTTTGATGTGATATTCTCATAGTCTTCAAGTTAAGCATGTGCTTAAGTGCTTTAATGAATTAAAATGGGGTTATGGAATCAAACTTTTAAATAAGGTATCTGCTTGCTTTGCTATATAAGGATGATAGTGATACTAGCAATGAAACTGGACTTGAGAACTATGAGATAACCATGTGTAAGAATACAGCAACTCAGGAACTTGTGAGTTTGTTTTCCAGTCAGATGTTCATGGTATTCAGAGAAAAACACAATCTTATTGTCTTATTGTGTTTTCCTAGCACTGTCCCTTGAAGGCCAAAGCCCTCGTGTTCAACACTGCAGGGTTCAGTTTGCTTGTGGCAGTTTTGCACCACTGGGGACTCCATTGCCTCTGCCGTGAGGAGCCAGTTTGCCTCTCTCTGCAGCACTGGACTGGGTCAAGTCAGAGACAGAGCAAGTATAAGTTTTGCATACATATATTGAGGGCAATTGTTAAAGATCACCTGGATATGATTCCAGAGAATTATAATAATACATAACTGTTAGTTCACCCCAGGAGTGTCCTTGCTGCTGAACTCACAACATAGTACACACAAAGGGTTTATACTTTAAGATCTTAAAATACCAATTTGTTACAAGGAGGAATACATACAAAGCAGTGTTTCTAGGGACAGTAATGAGACTTATTTAACAGTAACAAGACGTAGCCACAAACAACAATAATACTTTTACTGAGACCATCAGAAAAGAAAAAAAACATTAGTTAAAAATAAACCTTGTTATTTTGAAATAGTGTTGCCTTTATGGTTAATCTTAATTGCATATCAGTTTTGTTCTTGTGGCACTGTTGATAGGTTTGAGGCAGGCGACTTACATCATTAATTGCCTTGTATAGGGGATTGCATTTCAAATACTGGCTTTGTCTGACCCAGCTCCTATAGCCTGTTTGAGTGTTAGTAAAGTGTTGTTAAATGGAAACAAATGCCAGAAAACATGAATGTGTGTTTCCAAATGCTGAATAATATTACAGTATTCTTAATTACTTGAGAATGGGGAAAAAAAAGACTTCAGCAAAAGGGGCAGTGTTTGCCCCAGTGCCCTGGACAAATTCCAGTTTGGTTAACTGCATCCTGCCCACCTAAAATTCTCCCAGTAGTTTTAATTGGGTACCTCTGTCTTTCTCATTATTTGCTCTAGTAGGTTTTGTCCTACTGCTTGGCATTGTTAAACCATAACTGTTCTTCATTTGAGTGAAGGGATGGACTTCATTGCTGGGTATAGCCAGAAGAGGCTGCACTTCATTCCTCTCTATACAAACATTTTAACACAGCCATGATTGTAGTATATAGCTCCATGGACAGGATTAAGATTCCACTTCAGCAAGCCTATTTAACATGTTCCTGACTTTAAGCATATGCAAAATCACCACTGCACATTTTGGCAGTGTTCATTCCTTATACAGGTAGTGATATGTCAGACTTATGCAGATACATAATCTCCCTGGAGCCCATTGGGCACATGCTTAACTACTTTACTGAGACCTAAGCCAGCAAATTTCAGCCATCTGATGCTTCTTTCCCTCCTATATCATGTTGTGATGTTACACTAAGTAAAATCTATGGCCACTGGCAGATATTTTTTAAACAGTGCAATGGGATCTGCTACGTCAGCCCAACAATCGTGTTTCCCGCAATGCCACATGTACATGGCAGGAGATGTAAGTGAGTGATCTAGCATCAGACCCCATCATGATCCCTGGCTCCCTCTACACTGGCAACATTCACTCCTGTGGCTGGGAGCTCTGATCAGCTCATGAGGCTCCCAGCTGCAAGCACACCATGCACACTACACATTCAATTAAAGGCATGATAGGAACAAGTGACAAACGTATTTTGTATATTTTGTGCAAAAAACCCTCAGTCACTCATTCCTGGTTTTATCACACCATTCATTGAATGAACATGCCTCCACACATTCCTCTTAAATTTAGCATGTGGATCAGAATAACTTTCTGATCATTAGTATCAATTGCAGCTAATAGAGCTAATAGTGTTAACACCCATGTTTGTCCTCTGATCATAGTTCTTTTGCAAAATTATTTCAAAAGCATCTAAAGGTATGACTGGTGGCAAGAATAGGAAAACAGATGAAAGAGTTTAAAATTTATTGTGGCCTTGGTTTTGCAGGGCCAAAATTTACCTATTTAAAAAAGGGTTTTTTTGATGATTAACAAATGAAAGATGTTGAGGGGGGGAAAAATCATAAAATATTGTACAAAGACATAAAAGCAGTCATTTGTATATATAATTCTGTTTTAATAAAGGGGTATTTTGCCAGTGGGGGCAGGGAGCGGGGGGGGGGGGGGGGGGGGGGGGCTGGGACTTAAAAGATGCTGTCTCAACCTAATTCTGAGTGGTAACATTTTAAAAGCAACCTACATTTTTGAGAGAAAGTTTCCAAGTTTAATTTCTGGAAGTATCTCAGATACCTCACAAGCCCTTGGGACTTCAGCCTTTAAAGCCCCTGCTACACTTTACATATATTATGCAATTAAGTGGTTAATCTCTCAATAAATTTAGACTGGCCACATGTGTAAAGACCAGCCACAGGTGTAAAGTAAATATCACATGATTAAAATGACTATCCAGCTATAAAAGAGTTAAGTTGGTGCTTGGAAATCTGCAACCACCCTATAGGTTGTTTCTACCCAGCTTTAATTTGAGCATATAGCAAGGCCCTAAGGGTAAATCTATATGGTACAATAAAGCATTGTGGAGACACTTTGTGCTCAATCCACGAATGCTGGCTTCCAAACTGGAAGTAGTGTATATGTACTAGTGTAATTATGCAGGTGTAGTGATAATGTTTCTTTTAGCATATTGTGGTGCATCATTTTCCTGTCACAGCTAGGGTGCTTATGATTTGGGGTGTTGAACAGGTGTGGCATGTCTCAAACAGTGTTGTCTTTCATTCTCATTAGGCGTGTCTACATGTGAATTTGTGCACAACTAAACTGAATGCACCTTAAAGGTGCATTAAGGCAATTTAGGTGCTCATCTACACATACGTACCTTAAGGCACCTTAATGCGAGGTGCTGGGTGAATGTGTTTGCAGCCTGCCTTGTGCAGCAACCAGGACAGCCCCCACAATTTCATAGATTTCATAGACATCAGGGCTGGAAGGGACCTCGGAAGATCATCGAGTCCAGCCCCCCACCCAAAGGGCAGGAAGTCAGCTGGGGTCATAGGATCCCAGCAAGATAAGCATCCAGTTTCATCTTGAAGGTGTTCAATGAAGGCGCTTGAACCACCTCCGGTGGCAGGCTGTTCCAGACCTTGGGGGCTCGGACAGTAAAGAAGTTCTTCCTTATGTCCAGCCTGAAACGATCTTGAAGTAGTTTGTGACCATTCGACCTCGTCATCCCTTGGGGCGCTCTGGTGAACAAACGTTCCCCCAGATGCTGGTGGTCACCCCTGATAAACTTATAGGTGGCCATCAGATCACCCTTGAGCCTGCGCTTTTCCAGGCTAAAGAGCCCCAGGGCTCTCAGCCTGTCATCGTAGGGTCTGCTTCCCTGACCTCTGATCATGCGCGTGGCTCTTCTCTGGACTCTCTCAAGCTTCTCCACATCCTTTTTGAATTGTGGAGCCCAAAACTGGACACAGTACTCCAGCTGCGGCCTCACTAAGGCCGAGTACAGGGGGAGAATGACGTCCCGGGATTTGCTTGAGAGCAAAAATAAAAATGTTTGTGCACTCCCTGCTCCTCCATTGCAGAAATCTATTTTAATCCGTTTTTAAAAACACACTTATTCTCTAAAGCAATTGGCTCCAAAATGTGGTACCTCTACTTTTGCTATTTACACACTCTCCTTTTTCATCCCTAAAGCTATTTCTTTCGGATTTGGGGGTTCCCAGTTCCTGTCATCTTGCTTTAGTTCAATCTATTCTAGATGGAGCTTTACCTGACGATTGCCTAAAAACGAGGCGCTGAACGCCGCTGCTTAGCGGCGTTCCTGTCAGAGAGTGCATTTTGCACGGGTTCTGTGATTTGGATTGACATACCACTTGTTTCTGTATAAATATGAACTCGCCATTTTCTCAACCTCCTGAAACCCTCAATATTTTGGATCTTGGAAATGGCCCGTCTCCTTATATGGTACTGGAGCAGCCGCTAAAGTTAGAGAGAGAGTTTTGCTAAAAGCTCTTTCCATTCTGGTGTTAGAAAGGAAAAAGGAGAATTGGCAATTGGGAAATTCAAGTGCAACTGCTTTCTCCGCTTGGTTCAGTAGAGGCAGAGTTGCTTGCTGGCATTCAGAACTCACTCTCTATTCTCCAAATAGTTTTGAAAAATAACAGGGTTCAGAAGGATGCCAAGGTGGGCTAAGTGGAGAAACGTGAATGTAGTGGGTAGGGTGCGTGAGAAAGTCTGTTACTAGAAATGGATTTACCCAGCTGGATCCACTTTCCTCCCTTTATTGAAGGTAGGTACCACATTGGCCTTCTTCCAGTCTTCGGGCACTTCACCAGAGCGCCAAGAGTTTTCAAAGATCCGTGCTAGAGGCTGGGCTATGATGCTCGCCAGTTCCTTGAGTACCCTGGGGTGAAGACGGTCAGGGCCGGCTGACTTGAAGGTATCCAGCTTCTCAAGATGTTCCTTCAGAAAGTCAGCCTTAATGGAGGGCAGGGGATCACCCTCACCCGGACTTCCCGGCCCTGTAGCGGGCATGGGCGTCCCATGGGACTGACGAAAGACGGGGTCCAATGTTGCCTCTGCTTTTCCTCCGGCTCCCCACATATCTGAAAAAGGACTTTTTATTTTCCTTGATGCTCAAAGCTAGCTGGAGTTCAGTTGCAGCCTTGGCTTTCCTGGTCTGCTCCCTACAGGACCGGACCAGTGCAGAATAATCCTCCTTAGAGGTGACTCCCATCCTCCATCCTTTGTAGGCCTTTCTTTTTAGCCTCAGGAGGTCTTCTAGGTCCCTGGAGAGACAACAATGCCTGAGGCTGTGTAGCTGGGCAGTGCAGCCCAGCTCTGGCCCCAACTCTAACGCCCACCCCGTGTTCCTGCCTCCCAGCATCAGTGGAGAGTGGGCCAGAGCTGAGGCCATGGGGAGCCCTGCGGCAGGTAGGGTGCTGGTGAAGTTCAGGGCCCCCACTGTGGCCTGGGGCTGGTGTGCATGAGCCAGGCAGGTGGCAAGGGCTGGTGGTTCCCCTGGAGGACACAGGTGTGTGCGAGTGCAAGGAGGACAGTGGTGTGTGTCTTGGACAGGCACTCCTACCTCAGTGTGTGCGACCTGCACGTGCACAGCTTGGCACTAAGTCCCAAATCAGTCGATACACCAACAGGTACCACTGCTGCAGGTACCGCCACTCCAGCTCCACATCTTGGAGAACAAGACTTGCCACGTCTTCTTCTTGGCAACTCCAGGAGGCAGCATGGAGCTCTGTGGGGTTGGCTCCAGCCCACTCCGTCGACATGCACAGTGTTATGCCACCTTAAGGCATCTATACGTCCCTTAAGGTGCCTTAACTATTCATGCCTACATTTGAAACCTGCTTTATGCATAATGCAGGTATCAAATTTAGGCACGATTAGCCTAAAATTGCCATTTTAAGGAGCAATTTTAAGGGTGTGCACATATAGACCTGTGCTCTTAATGCACTTTAAAAATGACAATTTTAGGCTAATCGCACCTAAAAAAAAAAATAAAAAAGGCACATGTAGGTATGCCCAAGTCATTTTGGAAAATGTTATTAAGGCTTCCAAGCTCCTTAGGTGCTTTTGAAATTTGTAACCAGAATGTTCATTGACCACTAATATCCTCTTCTGTGTCTTATGTCAAAACAGTAGTCCTAGTAGCGCTCTTCCTGTATTGGTCTGAGATTTCATCTGTAGTCTCCTTTTTAAATGTGGAGAGTGACCACTTCTAGCATAGAGTGTATGGAAGTTACACCAGCTTATCTCTGTATCTTACAGGTATAATATATTTGCTGTACCATGCCTGTCTCTCCATATTCTAGAGCAACATCGCATTATATCACCCAGAATTCTAGAAAAGTAGGGCTGGAAGGGACCACTAATACAACCCCCTTCTCAAAGCAGGATCAGCCCTGTGTAAAACAAGTGTGCATCTAACATGCTCTTAAAAACTTCCATAGATAGAGATTTCACAATAACATTTTCACCAACATTCACAGCACAGACGGTCAAATCAGTTTATTTATGAAATTTTATAAGTTCCTAATGGAAACCAAGGTGATTTTGAAATAACTACATTGATATTATTATTTTGTTGTTTTTCACAAGCTGATGGTGAAACGTTTTTAAACGGAGGTATGAAACTTCAGTATTTCTCAACTGTATCCCAGCATTCATAATATTTAGAGCAGAAATTTTGAGATTTTGAGAGAAAAAAATTAGAGATTTTGCTTGTGCCCAATAGTGATGTACCTGGGAGCAATCACATTGGAATCTGAAGTCCATCAACAGCAAGAGGATGTTTGGATGAAAGTTCAGATTCAGGCCTAGCTCTAAATATTTTGAATCAGGAAGGTTAATTAACTTCCTTGGTGAGGGAGAGTTTTGGCAGGACTAAGCACAGTGAGCCCATATCTGCACCCTGAATAACGTAAATATGAACGTTCAATAAAGCCTCCACTTAGAAGCAGGAAGCTGTAGAGATAATTGGGAGAGAAACCTTCATAATGAACAACAAATATAATTACAGTATATGAGTTGCTGAAAACCTGATCTATATAAAACAGTAGCTATGCAAATCCAATGCATTAAGTTGACATCTGTGCCATATGTAATGATGCATTACCTTAATGGAAAGATGGCATTCACATCCCTTCCCCCACCTGATGTATATTGTGCCTCAAGAGTTGCATGTATTATACTAAGCATTACCACAATATTGTTCTTCAAGGTCTCAAGCTGAGCATTAAGCTACAATTGGATTGTCACCATTAAGGTTTTGTCACAGTCTGATTTAAGAAGAAAGTCAATGGTCTGGAAACAGATGTGAAACTCCTTAAATGCACCTCATCAGAGCTTCAAAACTAATTCTCATCTTAACATTGCTTTTGATTTTCTAAGGGAAAGAAAGGGAAGACATGAGGGGAGTGACAGTGCTCAAGTGGTGAAAAGGAGAGAGATAATCATGTGAGCACAGATGCTCGTGCACTAGAAGATAGCACTTTATTAGACTGGGATACGTGTTCTATATCCAAATTATGTCGCTCATTTGAAGTGTAATTCTACTCTGCCTACACAGCATGGGGTTTCCATGTAGAAACAGTTCTCATTATAGGAACATTTTTTGAACCAAGATATTTCAGGATGTAGGGGTATTTGCGGGGGGGAGGGGTGGAGTTTATTCTTTGGGGTTGTTTTTTTTTTTTTCAAAAACGATCAAACAAATAAACCCCAAACCAGACAGAGAAAAAAATTAGAACATCCTCCAGAGAGCTTAAAAGAGAGCTACACTAGAGTACCAATATCATGGTGATGAGGGCACCTATATGCAACGTGATAAACATCAGTTCCTCACATAAATCAAGCACCTCAGGAATTTATGTTTAAGCCTCCGCACCCGAAGAGAATACCCTAACCCTGAAGGAATCGTGTTTCCACTCAAGGAGGCAACTCTTTCTCATTTTGATCAGGATTTCTTTTCATCCTCAACGATATAGAAACCTCTCATTAAAACCTGTCCATTTTCCCCAAAAGTTTGGCTTTCAACAAATTGATACTTTCCTTTAAAATGCCTGACCAGTTCTATTTCCATCTCAGCAATGTCCAATTCAAATAACATGACTGGTTTACAAGAGGAAATACATAAAAAAAAAACCAACAACCCTGACTTATTAGTCATGAATCTGAATGAATTGGGCTCCTTTGGGATATAAAAAAAAGTGTTATCTGAGGGAACACAGTTGTCAACACCTTAATTTAAAATCTTGGTGCATTGCTCTATGATTAAGGCCTGCTTTGTGTCAGTCATTCTCGATAATACTGAATTGCTGCAAAAACTCCTGAAGCAATGAAGGGGGAAAAAAAGACACCAGGCAGAGACACCACTTACCTGCCTGAATTCCTCAAGGTCTATTTTGTTTCCCACCAGCACCAAGGGGATGTCGTAGGTGTGCCGGACACGATAAATGAGCTCCTTAAACTCTGCAGCCTCCTGAAAAGATTGGCGGTCCGTGATGGAATAGCAGATAATGAAGCCCTCTCCACCTCGCATATATTGGTCCCTCATGGCTGTGAATTCTGCCTGCAGAGTAAGAACGACATGCTCTATAATTTAGCAAATAAAATAATCCAACTATAAATAGTGGACTTGCTGAGAGTGTTTTTCCAAGGTAAATTTAAATTGCTTGTTTACTATTTTAAATAGTGCTTAGATTAAAAAAATAAATAAATTAGGCATCCTTCAGGGGCTGAGAGTGCAATTTTTCCCTGGATAATTCACCACCAAATTTTCTCTTAGGCAGTTTCTTTCTTGCACACAGCCAATCTGTCTTCTCAGAATATCAGTTTATTAATATAGATCCCTATTACTTCTCAATCACCATTTTTTTTCTAGGTCTTGCCACAACATGTCTGCATCCTGGAGCCTACAGGAGTAGCAACACATTGGGTGGCATAAGAAATGTAGCATGAAGAAAGATCCAGCCAAGCCTAATGGCCACCGGGCGAACATATATTCATAGATGCATAGATTGTTAGGGGCTGGAAGGGACCTTGCAGATCATCGGGTCTAGGCCCCCCGCTCTAGGCAACATGGTTAAGGCACACCTGTTTCTTAGATAAGAGCACACAAGGGGGCAAGAAGGTAGGAATCCTATCTGATCATTTTTGACTCCCTACCCTAAATGATCAAGTATACTCACCTAAACCTCTCTTCAAACACATCCTTGCAACATAAAGAGCCACCCCCACCCCTCCAATATTGCTTCTTAAATATGAGATTCATGTCTGAAGTCCTATTTACCTGATCCAAGACCAGGGATGTCAAAGGGGAGACCTGTATTGACTTCAATGAGTTTTGGATTAATCTCTAAATGAAATGACTTCTTGCGGGGTTGGCGGGCTATTCTTCAAAGATTATGTACATCTAAAAACTTCCTGAAGCAGCAGAGTTTCCATTTCAGTGCAAGATGCTATCACTAAGAGATGGGCTAGTTCACACTGGGAATTGGTCCAAACTTTTTGCCGCATCAGATATTTTGGTTAACTTTCATTTCAATATATTTTTCCAGGTGGCATTCTCCAAATCCCCCTGTTCTTAATACCTCAAGCTTGGCTTTTTTTGTCAAAAGCTGGACTTGAATATTGTTGCTTGATCATGTTTTAAGGCAAGTTTCACCCTCAATGTTATGCATTTGTCTTGATCATGGCCAGAGTAAAGAAATGGAAGGGCCTCAAATATCATGGCAATGGCAGATTGGAACAAGAATTCTCTTGACAAACCAGTTTGCAGGAGATTTGCAACTCCAGAGCTTCTAACAGAGTTGGGAATTTATGTATAAATGTTAGAATGCCTCTATGAGCTAAGGGACAGGTAATGTCCTGAATTTTCCTCTCGCTTGAGATTTACAGAAAGATTTTCAAATGACAAGTACCCAACTTACACTGAAAAAATCAATGGAAAATGGACAATTAGATTACTTATGCCCCTCTTAGAATCTCAATGTTAAGTCTCTCTAAGTATTTTAAACTAGGCCATATTGATTACCATTACCCACTATAAATAGATCTATACTTAATGTTCACCATTCTTCTTTATCAATGACCCATACTTTAACCAAGGGTTGCTCACATATATTTTAAAGTCTCCCAAAGGGGGGGTTTCCTATATTAAGTTCCAAATTAGCAAATTAATGCCAGGTTTTCACTCAAAATGTGCCTATGAAAACATTCAATGCATGCCAAAGCAGAATTATAATCTTTTAATAATATACGATAGTAATAAGTAGGCCTGTGCGAAGTGGCTGGTATTCACTTTGGATTCAGATTCAGCCGATTTGGGGGACAGTGATTTGATTCGGTGATTCGAATCACTGTCCCGAATTGATTTGGCCGAATCTGATTTAGAGATCTGGCCACTGCCAAATCGGGGTGAGGGGATTTTTTTTTTTTTTTAAGAGCTGGGGCCAGGTGGGGCAGCCATGGGCGGGTGGGCAAGCCCACCTCCCCCCACCATGGTCCCCTCCTCCCTTCTCCAGCCCCCTCCCCTCCAAATGACTGGCATGGAGTCTGGGTCCAGCTCCCTACGATGGCAACTGGGGACTTCCTGAATCTCTGAAGCTCTTCGAATCTTTTCCAAATCAATTCAGAGAATTTTGAATTGATTTGGACCTTTTTTTTTGGTTCATTTCATATTTGGAGATTCGCCCGCTGAATCAGGCCAAATCTCCGAATCGGATCAGCACCCAAAGGTTCGCACAGCCCGAGCAATAAGTGCTTTGACCTTATTCAAATAAAACATTGCTTATTTTTCATTAAACGTTGTGACAACATGACATTTTCCCATGCAACATTTCTATTTGGTCAAATCATAACGAGGGGGTGGAAAGCACGCTGTCCAAGTTTGCTGATGACACTAAGATGTGAGGCGAAGTGGACACACTTGAAGGGAGAGGGAGGCTGCAAATAGATTTAGACAGACTACAAAAGTGGGCAGACGAGAATAGGATGGGGTTCAACGTAGACAAACGCAGGGTGCTGCACCTTGGGAGAAGGAATCCACAGCATACATACAGGCTGGGGAGTTCCCCTCTTGAAAGCACAGAGGTGGAAAGGGATCTCGGAGTCATTATTGACTCCAAGATGATCATGAGCCGCTAATGCCAGACCACAGCCAGCAAGGCCAGCCATACCTTGTCATGCATCCAAAGGTGCATCTCAAGCTGGTCCAGAGAGGTGATACTCCTCCTCTATGCGACTTTGGTCAGACTGCAGTCGGAGTACTGCGTCCAGTACTGGGTGCCGCACTTCTCAAGGGATGTGGCCAGCCTGGAGAGGGTTCAGAGGAGGGTCACCCACTTGGTGAGAGGGCAGCAGGACAAGCCCTATGAGGAGAGACTGAGGGACCTGAACCTGTTCAGCCTCAGCAAGAGGAGGTTGAGGGGAGACCTAGTGGCTGCCTACAACCTCATCAGGGGAGATCAACAGCAAATAGGCAGAGCTCTTTTCTCCGCAGCACCACCTGGGGTGACGAGGAACGATGGTCATAAGCTGATGGATAATAGGTTTAGGTTAGAGATCAGGGGGCAATATTTTACAGTTAGGGTGGCCAAGGGGTCAGGCTAGATGATCTGTTCAGGTCCCTCCTGACCCTAGCTACTGTGAAACTATGATAGAAATGAGCTCATCAGAATATTTGTGACTAACTTCAAATTTTACACCCAAGCAATGCTTTTGAAGACAATGAGGTTTCTCATATGAATGTAAAGGGATTCAGGTCATTGACTGCAGTTGGAGAAAAGCTAAATAAGTAAATCTGATCAAAATGAAGCCAATGGGATCTTTTCCCCCCATCTAGGAGCAAAATTTCCTTCCTGATGACAAATTTTTGCCGTGGTTTCAGGTATAATAGATAATGTCCCCACAGTACTTTATTTGTGATGAAAACTCAAACAAAACAAGTCTACCAAAGCCACTTAAGCATTTTTCCAGAACTTATATAATCTACATCCCTCTTTTACTCTTCATTTAGGAGAAAGGCAGTATGCATAATTATTACTTTAAGGATATAAATGAGTTTATTTCTGTAATTATTTATTATGGCATGTTATTGTTGATGATTTATTGCACCAAACAGCCAAAATACCTTAGTGCCATGCTCACAGTGATCTTTTTTTTTTTTTTTTTTTGTATGCACTTGTTGTATGTCTGTAATTATTCTATGCAGACTGGACTGGGAATGGCCACCTGTTCATGTGTAGCTAATTCAATTAGTTGAGGGATTTCTTTCTTTCTGTTCTTTCCTTTTTGATGCTGTTTTTCACAAACCTCATCCCTACCCTTGGTAATTTTGCTGATTCTAGAATCACAGAATACTAAATTTAAAAAGAAAATAGACTCAGATTTTCATAGCATTTTGCATTTGTTCTGTGTACTTTTTATGTCAAATCACTATGGTCTTCATAAAACAGCTTATGTTAGTGAGGGGAATGATCTACGAAACACATGGGGAACGATAAATGCCATATTTCACAAGAGAGAGGACCAAAACAAAAATATCTAAAACTCTTTGATGATATTTTAATTGTGCTCTCGTGCCATATAATTTCATATCCCCCCCTATTTTTTTTTTCATATATGAGCCAAGCTTTCATTTCAATAGGCCCATGGAAGTCCAGACAAGAATCCAGATCTAAGCTCTAAGGACCCGGGAAATTTTACAAGTGGTTCAGTACTTTTAACTTTATATTTTCTTTGCTTCTTTTACATTAGCCAACAATGCATCTATAAATCCTGCATGGTAATATCTTCCTTAATTGCTTCCTGCTATAAATGTGGCTTTTGGGTTAATTATTCAGGAACATAACTTGATGCCATGTGTTACTCATGAGGAGAAGAACTGAAACATTTCCATGTCAGTAAATGCAAAACAGCATAGACAGGAAGAAATCACACCTCTTCAAAAGGAAATCAGTTCTGAGAATCAAAGTGCAGATTTGCTGTGCTTATAGCACTTTGCGACTTGCCATCAGTTTCTAATATTCTCATGTGTATTATGACTAGAAGCTCTCTGAAAAAAGAAGGATAGGAACTCTTTTGAAATGAAAGCATTTTCCAATTCAGGATGTGTGCAGCAGATCAGCATAAGAAACAGCAGCACTGGCTAGAAACATCCACAATTTTTAAGGTAGGAAGAAGTACATATAAACTTCAATTTTCCCTTTTTTTTCACATTGCAATGTATTGGAGGGGAGGGAACAGTTATAAAACACAATGCTACAGGGAATAAGTTCCCCAGTAGGTAATAGATTAAATATTCAATCATAGTTACTGTAGGGCTTCCTACTACCTTTGAAATGCCTGGTACTTGCCATAACTGTAAACAGATATCGGGCCAGTACTTTGAATGATCCATAACAGCAATGCTGTTTCAGAGTTACCAAGACACTTCGGGAGCATGTGGCACAAGGCAAGCTCGTTGTAGTGCTTCTGGTCCAACCAAAAAGATGATAATCCAGCAATAAAAGTTATTTCCCATGATCTGCTCAGTTCCATTTTGCCAACAAAGAATGCTCTATGCATGCT